TCTTGAACATGGAATTCATGTAGGTGCAGGTGTTATTGATCCAGATTATCGAGGAGAAGTGAAAGTTCTGCTCTTTAATTTTGATCAAAAATTGTTCAGAGTTCAACCAGGCCAACGAATTGCTCAGATTATTTTTGAAAAGGTTGCACTTCCTAGGATGGTCCAGCAAGATGCTCTCTTAGGAACAACAAGAGATACCAAAGGTTTTGGTCATTCAGGAATGGCTTCGGAGCCTAAGGATTCGGATTCTGATTCGAACTCCACCCTGAATATCATAGCCATGATGGAGGAAGGAGAAACTGAATACCCACAGGTGAAGAAATTGGAGCAGCTCATAATGAAACATAGGAAAGATCCTCAATTTGTCCTTTCTTCTACATCTGCTGTTTCAAATTACAATCCTCCTCAGGATACAATGATGGGTCCTCCAGGTTATCCTCCAGCAACAGGTCAAGGAACAATTAACATCCCCCAGAGACCCACATATGAAGGTGGACAGTCCAGATTCAGAAACTTCAAAAGGGATGATAGAAGTGAATGGTGGAACTTACCATCAGCCATGCATTCAACTGGGGCTATGTTTATATTACCTCATCAATTGGGAAAATTTGATGAAGTATTCATGAGATGGGAGTCGATTACCAAAGCGCATGTTTCAATGCAAGGATTTACTGATGTAAGGGATAAGCTCCAGTACATCGAAAACATGCTAGGAGAAACGGAGAAATTAATATGGACTCAATGGCGTATGAAGTATGATGCGGAGTTCAACAACCTTATTACCATGGGAGATGGTAATGAAGGAACACAGAATATTCTCTCACAAATGCGAACTGTTTTTACACTGGAAGATCCATACCAAGGCTCGACTTTGATGCAAGAAGAAGCCTACAGGGATCTAGAACGGCTATCTTGTCGGGATGTCAAAGATATAATCAAATTCCTAAATGATTATTTGTATCTTGCCACAAGATCAGGGCGTTTGTTCGTAGGAGAAGAATTATCAGAAAAACTATGGTCAAAGATGCCTGGAGATCTTGGTGAAAGAATCAAGAAGGCGTACCAGGAACGACATGCAGGGAATGTGATCGGTGTTGCACCCAGGATACTTTTCGCTTATAAGTATCTTGAGACGGAATGTAAAAATGCTGCTTTCCAGAAATCCCTCAGAAATTTGGAGTTCTGCAAGGAGATCCCAATTCCAGGATATTATAAGGAGCCAGAAAGGAAGTATGGCATACGGAAGGCAACAACATATAAAGGCAAGCCACATTCTTCCCATGTTCGAATTGACAAACGGAAATATCTGCAGAAGTCGAAACACTGTAAGTGTTATGTTTGCGGAGAAGAAGGCCATTATGCTCGTGACTGTACCAAGGACAAGAAGAATGTCAAACGAGTTGCAGTCTTTGAAAATCTTGGAATACCAGACGACTATGATGTCATCTCTGTTCAACCAGGCGATGAAGATTCTGATGCAATTTATTCAGTGTCTGAAGGTATTGATGATACTGAGCAGATTGGTGGAGGCCTTATCGAGACAATTTATATGTTCCGAGAGTCGGATCAAAGTTATTGGCTCGGAAAAGAAGGGTACCGAGCACAAGTAAAAGTCGCTCCGGAAATTTATCATTGCCAACATGATTGGGATCAGCGTAATCCATTGCCCCACGACAGAAGGCCGGAGTGCACAACTTGCAAACGAAATTTGGTTGGCCAATCCAGAGCATTTTGTGGAAAATGTAATGCTCTAACATGTGCATTATGTTCCAATTATTATTTTGGCTTTACTAAGTTTGTCATGCACAAGTCGCCAATCCCATATAACCAAAAACCACTACTCCAAGAGCAGCAGGAGTATATCAGGTGGTGTGAGGCGGAAATGAAGCGGTTACGGGAAGAGGCACTACACTATAAAAATGAGTTTCTCCTTCCTCCATCATGGCTATGATATTCAGGGTGGAGTTCGAATCAGAATCCGAATCCTTAGGCTCCGAAGCCATTCCTGAATGACCAAAACCTTTGGTATCTCTTGTTGTTCCTAAGAGAGCATCTTGCTGGACCATCCCAATTGGAACAAGATGAGAAGGAGCTAAGGAAAACAGGCAAATTCAAGGCTGAGGAACTACAAGATTTAGAAGAAGAAGCTGAAGCCTCTGAACAACTCATGATGATGGAGACAGTTGCAAGCGGAGAAGTCAAGGAAAAGAAGAAGAACATGTTGTACAATCTTTCTGTTGAACTTGAGATTCCAGGCGTACAAAAGAAGATTGTTCTTAATGCCATCCTTGATACTGGAGCCACTACGTGCGTCGTGGATTCAGCGTCCGTCCCATCAGAAGCACTTGAGGAGAATACTTACACTGTGGAATTCAATGGTATCAATTCACAGTCGAAGGCGAACAAGAAGCTTCGCGGAGGAAAAATGTATATTGGAGACAACTGGTTTCGAATTCCCTATACATACAGCTTTCCATTTCGACTCGGTGGAAGAATACAGATGATCATTGGCTGCAATTTCATCAGGTCAATGTACGGAGGAGTTCGGATAGAAGGAGACAATGTCACATTTTACAAAAATGTGATAACAATCCAAACTCGCCAATCTGTCAACCCCATGGAGACTGAAGTTGATAATGATTTCCTCATTGATCATTATTATGATCACGCAGCAGAATGGGTATTTCACTCCATTGAGCATAATCCTCTTGCCCCCAGATTTGAGGACAAATATCCAAAGATAATGAAGTATTTACAAAGCTGCGGAATAATAGGAGAGGATCCTATGAAGCAATGGTCGAAGAACCAAATTACATGCAAATTGGACTTAAAGAATGCAGAATTTATCATTGATGATAAGCCCATGAAGCATGTTACTCCAGCCATGAAAGAAAGCTTCAAGAAACACATTGATCAGCTACTGGAGTTAAAGGTTATCCGTGCAAGTAAAAGCAGACATCGAACTACTGCTTTTATTGTCAATTCAGGAACTTATATTGATCCAGTTACAAAAGAAGAGAAGCGAGGAAAGGAGCGCATGGTTTGTAATTACAAACGGCTCAATGACAACACTCATAAGGATCAGTATAGCTTGCCCGGGATTAATACAATTATGGCTAAAATCGGCCATAGCAAAATCTACTCTAAGTTCGATTTAAAGAGTGGGTTTCACCAAGTTGCAATGCATCCTGACTCAATCGAGTGGACAGCTTTTTGGACACCATTGGGACTTTATGAATGGCTGGTAATGCCATTTGGTCTAAAGAATGCCCCTGCTGTGTTCCAGCGAAAGATGGACGTCTGCTTCAAAGGAACGGAAGAATTCATTGCTGTTTACATCGATGATATCCTTGTATTTTCACCAAATGAACAGACGCATGAGAAGCATATCCAAGTAATGATTGAAGTCTGTAAGAAGAATGGGCTAATTCTTAGTCCAACAAAGATGAAGATAGCTGCAGTTCAGATGGATTTTCTTGGATCCACAATCGGGCAAGGTGAAATCAAATTACAGGCCCATATAATAACCAAGGTGGCTAACTTTTCTGAAGAAGCTCTGAAGGAAACAAAGGGCTTAAGGTCTTGGTTGGGCTTACTCAATTATGCACGCAGCTATATTAAAGACTTGGGCCGAATGTTGAGCCCACTATATTCCAAAGTCAGCCCAAAGGGAGAGAAGAGGCTTAATTCTCAGGATTGGAACCTAATCCGGGAAATTAAGAGTGTTTGGCCAAAGGCTATTCAAGTTGTAACACACAGAGAGAGAGAGAGAGAGAGAGAGAGAGAGAATTGTAGAGAGGGATTTTTCCAAAATTATTTCCCCACTTCTAAATGTTTCTAACCTTGAAAGCAAGAAGAGAGGTCCTCTATATATAGAAAACATGAGCCTTAGGTCGAAAATATCAAAAACAGAATAGCTGGAGCTTTGTGGAAACAACTGGCAAAAATATCTGGGTTTTACACTAGTGGTCGGCTAGTGACCGGCCGGCCAGAAGTGTGAATTCTTGGCCACCAATGGTGTTCGGCCGGCCACCTGCCAGCCACCAGAAATATGCTTTCAGACCCGACTTCAAATGGGCATGTCTCCTTCATCCGAACTCGATTTTAGGTCATTCTTGAGTCTATATTGAAGCCCCGGAAGTTTACTTTCCAATAGTGGTAGCCTCACGTCTAAATTCTAAGTGTGCAAAAAGATATGCCTATTTTAGTGAAGGTTTCTTAGTTTTACCTTAATCAGATAGATGCCTAACTTCAAACGGCCATATTTCTCTCATTCGGACTCGGCTTTAGGAGATTATTGAGTCTAAAATGAAGCCTCAGAAGTCAATTTTCCAATGGTGGTGGCCTCAAAACTAAAGTCCAAGTGTACAAAGAGATAGGCCTGATTTAGTGAAGGTTGCTCAGTTCTCTCTTAACGGTTTGAAGCATAACCATTTCCCCAAACTAGTTTTCCTCCCTCTCCTCCTATTTTCTTCAGCTCTAAACCTATAAATAAGAGGTAATAAAGATTTTTCAAAGAGTTCACCTCTTTTTCATTTATTTTCACTTTGTCCTTGCTTGATTTACCGAAAAGTACAACATTTAACGAAATGCGAGCCTCGGAACATCGTAGAACCATTTTCAAAAATATTTTAAAAGAGAGGGTTTTAAGGTCTAAAATAGTTTTGGTCTAAAATAAGGTATAAGGTTGGGATTTAGAAGCTCTTCTTGCTGAAGAAATTAAGCGATTGGACAACGTAACTTTCATCGTCGAGTGATCAATCAGTGGTGCCTAAGTCTTAAGGACCGTCAAAAATGGGGTATTTACACCACTTCTCAGAGATGCAAAAATAGTCCAATGAAATCTTTCTTTACAATTTGCTCTAACTCTACACCCCTCAATCTTTTTAAACCTAATGTCTTTACCATTGAGGATGGCATGATGCTTGACAGCTCCAGCACATTGAGCCCTACTTTTAAAAATCATTCCTAACTCAAAAATAGGGTTCTCTTTTCCAAAAGCATATTTGAACTCTTTGTACTTGGCCTTTGGCAACCCATCATCTCCATCTTTTGATTCTTCAAGGCTAGCAAACCCATCTGAGAAATCTCATTGCTCACTTTCTGGTTCAGAAAAATCTTGAACATGACTATTTTCTGGTAGCTTACTTGCATATTGGTCCACTCCTGCCATTGGTTCCTCATTCAAGCTGTAATCACTATCAACAAATACTTCATATTCAGGTTCTGAAGCAGAATTTGAACTATGTTTATCCCCATCAACACTAGGTTCATAAATACTCCATTCTGTTGTGTTGTATTCCTAGTCTCATTCCTCTACATTGACATCCTAGAAATGTTCATCAAAACTTAGTGGAACAGGGACAGGTTCCTCAATATAAAGTTTCAATACACCTGCCACTATAAATTTCATCATTTCATACACATCCTTATCAGAACTAATAAATTTAAATCCTCCATCCAAGCTCTAATTCTCACTGACTCTGTAATGAAATCCAACAAAATTACTATATCCTACCATTTGGGCACATTCAACCAATATAAGTAATGACATCCTCCCCCTATCATTGTAGTCAATGTAATCTACTTGGCCTTCAACATAAGACCTCTGTCCATTTTCTGTCCTAAATTAGCCACCATGATTCACTTTAATGGTAAAGTGATCAGCATTGATGTCTGTATAGGCATTGGACCATTATAACATTAAAAAATAAAAAAATGAGGAACATATGCAAATGCATGGGACCACAGTATCATTCACAAAAAAGCATGAAAACACACTCGAAAAAAAACACATACTAAAAGACAGGGGATAATCAAACAAACACATATAAAAAGACTTCACTTTTTGGAACAATACATATACTTCAAAATTCACTTTCTTCAAAAGAACACAGTAAACAAAAAAGATTCAACAAATAAAAAAGTAACCAAAAATATACAAAACTGACCTAAAATACTTAAAAAATCATAACCATGCAAAAATATTAACCAAAAACTAAAAAAATTATACTTACATTTTGGTATATAACTATCTTGATACTTCGCCATGGCCATCCGGCCTCAATGAACACAAATAATGTTGCAAAACCCTTCGATTTTTCAAGAAAACCACAAACCCTAGCCTCAATTGAAGTTCTAAAGATTGAATCGATGATCTGAAAACCACAAAACCCCCATTTTTTTAACCCCAATTCGCCTCACATGTATGGCACATGCGGTTGAGAATGAAATATCCATTTTGACCTTCATAGCAGCCTTTCGTATCACGTGAAATGCACGTGCAATGCTATTCCGTTAATGATTTGGACGGCAGACACAAATTGGACTTGACAGACAAGAATTATTAAAGTTTAAGGACTACAGAAACACAAACAATAGTTAAGGGACCAAATAGAAAAAACGCATATAGTTTAAAGGGTAAAAGTGTAATTAACCCTAAAAAAAATCTCTCTAAAGAGAGAGATATAAATCAACATTCAGATACCCTTCATGGGACTACTCAATTAATGACAGAGAATATTAATGTTGCGTTTGGTTGAAGGATTTGGAAAAGAAAATGAAAAATATAAGTAAAATGTGAATAAAATATACCTATATTTCACATAATTTTTTCTTTTTTCTTTTTAAATTTTTTTTTAAATTTTCTAACCAAACACAACATAAGAAGGCCCAATATTATGTCCATCATTGCTTCCAATGGCCAACAATTAGCCTCAATCATCTACACCACTCAAAACAAGTGTACATTCTCTTTTGGTCATTCTATGACACATTCTCAAATATGTAATTTATGACATTTTTAATGTTAATTACTATAATATCATAATTAGATTTTTTTTGTCATAATTAAAAAATAATAATTTATAATTAAATATCATTGTTTCGTATTATTTTATTTGGGATAAACTTTTTTAACTTGACTTTTTGACTTTTTAACTATTTTAAGTTGACTTAAAAAGTTCTATTTGGGATAAATTTCTGACTTGTTTGGAGTGTTTTGGAAAAATAGTTAAAAGTTGACTTTCAATTTTTAACCAAACTTTTTGATTTTTTCAGAGAGTCATTTAAAAACTTAGTAAAAAGTTATTTTTTTGACTTTTTCACTTAAAGCTATTAATGTTGCCATGAATCCTGCCTTGAATCTACACTTGAACAAAACTATTTCTATTTTCTTAAGACTGACTGACTTTCTTTTTTTCTTTTCTTTTTTTGCATGTTTCTTGTTATGATCCACTACACCAAAACAGGGCATTAACGGCGGTAATGAAAACTGCCGTTAAAGATACTATTAACGGCGGTAACGAATACCGTCGTTAATAGTATCTTTAACGACGATTTTCGTTACCGTCATTAACAAAATCGCCGCTAATGACCCTTTAACTGCGATAATGAAACCGCCGTTAAAAAACCGCCGCTAAAGCTATTTTTAAACGGCAGTAATGAAACCGCCGCTAAAGCCCTCTAATTACTGCCGTTAATGACGGCGGTCTTTGTCGGCGAAGCTCCGGCGGAGTTCCGATGAGTGGTGACCATGCGCGGCTAGGGTTGAACATGACCATTTACAATAAAGTAAAAGTAATGTTTAAATATTTATTTAGGAAATATATTTCACGAAGAGTGGCTATGGTAGAGTGATTGGTGTAGGTAGATGAGAGGTTGAGGATTCAAGACTTGGAGAGTACAAAAAGAAAGAATTATTTTTTAAAAAATTTGAACCTATTTACGGCAGTAAAGAACCGCCGTTTTTGGTCATAAATGACCGCCATTTTTGATCGACTTTTAACGACGATAATTTACCTTTTTATGACGGTTGTACTTTTTTCGACACGGACATAAACGGCGGTAACGAAACCGCCGTTAATACCGCCGTTAAAACTTTAATGGCGGTTTTATAGCCTTTAACGGCTGTAAAAAACCGCCACCTCATGAGGTACACAAGAAAAGGTGTGGAAAAAGTTTTTTTTTTAATCGCTGAATATAGTTCTGGAGAAGCCGTACTATGTTCCAAAATATGCATTCCAAACCACAAATTGTTAGGGGATCAAAAATTTTCAATTAACATTGATCTACACTTAATGCAACACGGTGACTGTTAGGCAAAGTCCTAGATAATTCAATTTACAACTCAAAGATAAAAAAACATAGTGAAAAAATATTAAATGTCCAAACAATGTACCATGGTCTTGCACATTATTAAACACTTTCATGCATACAAACATTATTTTTAATAAAATTCAGGTCATAACTGGACAATGTTATTGTACGCTAATATAATACAGTAAACTTCATTCTGAAATGTAAAATAAAAATAAATCCTTGCTTTATCCATGTAATTGTTGCATTTTCTTTTTCTTTTTTTTTTTTCTTTTTTTTTTTGGTATAAGCAATCCATGGTTGGCCTATCCATGCAGTTGTTTAATATGTGTTTTCTGTATTTCTTCAATTTTTGTGATCTACCTTTGGATTTTGATACTTTCTTTTGTAATGACCTGGTCAAAACCATGTATAGCAAAGCAACCGAACACTAAAAGATTAATACCAAAAGATTAAAACCACACCAAATGCATAGTGATCCCAAGAAACAGTAGATCCCATCACAAACATGCTAGTCATACAATAAGAGTAAGAAGACATCACAGAAAAGGGCACAAAGATGTCATTTTGTATACATCATGTATGTAAAAGGTTGCAACCCCTTTGAGGTCAAATTGTGTTCCTAATGAAATCAATACATATCAAGAATAAGGAAACAAAGAACCAACATTGCTGGTGTGTACACTGAAATTGATGCAATGTACAAGGTTGTAACTAGCAACCCCTTCGATGTCTCACTGTTTCCTAATGAAATCATTACATATCAAGAATAACACCAAAGCATTGCTTGTGTGCAAATTGAAATTGATGTACAGCTCTAAGGTAAACCAAACAAAAGAGAGGATATTAACATCCAGTAGGTGGTATTTTAAGTAATTTTTTTTTTGATAAATAAGCAAATTTTATTAAGAAAGCATCAAGACGATGCAACCAATACAAGAAAAGCCTCCCAATAATGGAACCAAAAACAAGGACTAACCAATCACCCCATCAAGAAAATCTAAAAACCTAAATAAATCCGGATCTACCCTACCCTCCAACCAATTATACAAAATCAGGGAAAGACGACTTTGTAACGAAGAAACACTATGAGAAACCACTAAGAAGGAATGTCGATTCCGTTCCAACCAAAGCAACCACATCAAGCAGAATGGAGCCAGTAACCAAGCTCGCCGCCGCCGCCGACCAAGACGAACGCCCTGCCAAGCCCAAAGGAAATCAAACACCCCTTGTGGCTGGACCCAAGCAATTCCAAAAAGAGAACAAACAAAGCCCCACAAACCCGAAGCCACCCAGCAATGAAGAAACAAATAATTTACTGACTCCGCATCCGCGCAACACATACAACACCGATTAACAAGGATGTGCCCCCGCCAAATCAAATTGTCCAAAGTAAGGTTCCGACCTAAAGCGACCGTCCACATGAAAAAGGCAACCTTAGTCGGAACCCCCGGAACCCAAACAAATTTCCAAGGAAAGACCCAACCAGCATCTCCCATCAACCCCTGATAAAATGATGCTACTATGAACTGCCCCTTTGCCCCCAACCTAGTCCAAACCAATACATCGGGGCCCACCCCTACTGTACCCAAACCATATAAAAAACTCCACAAGTCCACCAACTGAGCGACTTCTCAATCATGAACCTGTCGCCGTAACTGAATATCTCAAACAACCACACCCCTATCATCCAAATAGGAAGCCACCAAAGCATCTTGATCTAAAGCAATATTAAAAATCAAAGGGAAACGGGTCTCCAAGACCAACTCCCCACACCACAAGTCTTTCTAAAACCGCACCCGACTCCCTTCCCCCACCTTAAACCCTATCCACTTCCAAAACTCTACCCTTCCCTTTGATTAAGTAATTTTAAGTAATTTTCATATTTATGTGGAAGATAGAAGGCATAAATAGCTTTTTCCAAACCCTAAAAAGAATAAGAATGCCAACCATTTCATATGGAAACCGCTTGTAATGTAATCAGCTAGTTTCCTTTTATTTTGCTTACACAATAGAACAAAACAGAGGCAACAAAGCCACCATAATTGGATAAATGGATTCCATTATTGAATTGGCATTAACTAATTCCAAATTCTATTAGCTGCCTAGCAGCCTACCTCCAAACTAAAGATTGACTAGTTGACAAGGCTGGAATAATGGCACTAATTGTGCAACCTTCTTTGGGCCCACAAAGAGTAGAAGTAGGCTTGATTGTAATCAGGTAACGTCCTTCTATAAAATGTCTTACAATATAATATCTTATTTCAACTAGTTATGCAGAAATTCAAACAAATCAAAAGATGAAGTACAACGAAATTTTTAGCAGCTGTTGGAAGCATTTTCCATTGGGAAATATGGGTATCAGACAACAAACATAAACATTTTCAAGAGTAGATATGGTCCTTCACCTCCTTAAAGGTTAGACTAGTCCCTTTGTTTTTGTGGTGGGTTTGACCCTTGTAAAACACCTGTTGGGTATTCCCTCAATAGTAAATTAGAAACAAAGCAGCTGATGGAGACTAACAATTGTATTGTCATTGCTTATACTGTAACAATATGCTAGCTGCTAAGAAGAAAAAGATCACAAAGTTTGTTCATACCAAACTTTTGTAGCAAATTGCATTCGTGGAGGTTCAAAAGGGTACCCATCTGCCAAAACAACAGAACAATTTAAGTAAAAGACAAGGATTTAGATGTAATATTAATTCATTACAAACTAACAACAAATGACAGACAAGAAATATATTTATACCCAGACATTGCAAAAATCATTACGGCCCCCTTTGCATCAAATATTTATACTTAAAAAATATCAGTTTCTTTTCTTCAAAAACAGGCTAAGTTTAGTACCATTTTCATTTTAGATGTCTTCATTTTTTGTCATTAGAAACAAGAAGGTTGAAAACACGGCTTTATGATTATGCAAAAACATTTTCAAAATCCAGAAGATTTTCCCAAAACAGTTTATCAAACAATTTTTTTGCGTCAATTTCCAGTTTTTCTGTTTTTAATAACAGAAAACAAAAAAAACCGAAAGCATTTCCAAAAGTGCCCTAAATATTGTAGAAAGCACTACCTTCTACTGAAAGCAATTCTGCAGTTTTCCATCCTACTTCTAGTTCCTAAAGTACTATAACCCCAGCCTGTCCTCAAAATTGTAAAGCACTACCTTCTACCAAAATGCAGACTTTAAACCATTACCTCAAATTAAACCCCTTATTCCTATTTCTAAAACCTATTTTTCCAATACATTTCCAGCCATATCTAGCAAGTAATTAAAAAGAGATTTGCAAGTAGTGCATTAAATGCATTGGATGACCACCCTCCACTATGGACCGTTATCACTTTATTTGTTTCAATCGCAACCTTCTATTAATATTCTGCCATGAAAGAGAATAAAAAAATGATATGTGAGCCGCCTATTCAATTTTATGACCAAAATTATCACTCAAAAACTGGTTTATTTACAAATATGCGAAAGATCTGTATATATCTTCACTTTCTCCTATGCGCAACCCAATTGTGTGATCAGATGGAAAAATTATACATACTTCTCACACATATGTTTAGAACCCACTCTTAAATGATCAATTTTGTCACTTTTCCATTCTCTTATAGTAGCAAAATGTTAACAGAAGGTCAAAATTGAAATAATTCAGAAATCAGGGGGCAAAAAATCACAATTTTAGTTGAACACAACAGAACTAAAAACCCTAGGCCTAAATTCCAGACTCAAATCTTGCAAATTTATATACACATATGTAACATCAGCGCTAAAAGCGACAATAAATTGATGTAAAACCCTAAAAAAATTGAAAGAAAACAAAGAAGAAGAAGAAAAGATTACCGGGCAAGATAATGTCGATGTTGAAAGTGCCGCCTTCGTAAGGAGTAGCGAGAGGACCAGGAATCGTTCCGGCCAAATGCGTGAGATTGTCGCCTTTAGGCTTGATGCTTATGCCCGAGACATCGTTGTCTTTGTTGCATTCTTGAAGCTCCTTCTGTACGCGAGCGAAATCCACCATCTTCAAACACAATTTACAGAGAGAGAGAGATTGAGAGAGAGAGAGAGTGTGTGTGTGCGAATTGAAGCTAAGGAATGTGTGTATAAATACGCATCGCACACGCTCGCACTCTCTCTATCTTGAGTCCGGATCCTCTCCTTGAGTAAGGTCCTTGAGTTCTAAGGTCCTTTCCTGCGGGCAGATGAGCCGTTGGTCATCCAACGGTTGATATTATAAAAAAAAAATAAAAAAAAATAAAGAATGTTGTTGTTGGCTACATATTTTGTAAAAGTCAGTTACAGTTCGACACGTGGCAGAGTAAGGGTAATAAAGGAAGGTTATTCAAGCCTTCAATCCTGATCGTACACGTGGCAATAAATATTGGTTCTCACATGATCTGAGTAATACTAGATCAATAACGGGATGCAAGATGACATAGCTTCAACGGTTACTCATATTCAAATCCAAGTACAAGAGGGAAGCTCAACTGCCAGTAATGGCGTAATGGAGCTACTTGTAAGGAAGCATGATCAGCGATCATGGAGGAGCAGTTCGACGGTTCGAAGTGCAGTTCGAAGGTCATCACTGACGAGTATAAATAGCAGGGCAGCCCCCAGAAAAGAGCAGAGGGAGAACTCAGATCATACAAATCAGTCATTTACTTCATATATTTTCTTCTCCAGTCTTTTACATTTCCAGTCTTTAAATACCTGTTCTTTAAATACCTGCACTTTAAATACCCGCACTGCACTTCGATTCATAGGAGTAGTTTCAAGTAGATTCAAGTGGATTGCTGTTGTAAACCTTTCCGAGGCTGAGTTTGGACCATTGTAAGTGCTCATTTTAATGAAATACTTCAATTGTTCTTCATATTACTGTTATTCCTTTTAATTTCTCCTAAGTCAAGCCACCAGTAAAAGTCCTCTTCATTGAGGCTGAAAGAACTAAAACACAATCGTCTGGTAATTGGTTGGCAATCACAATTTCTGTAAGGACTGATTGATCCTTGCTGGCACGCTCACATTTACAAAAATACCCTTCGAAAAGCCAAAAAGCCAACAGTTGTGTTTTCAATTTCCCGCCCAAACAAAACAACAATACAGCTTAGATGAGGGATTCACTTTCATTCTCACACACCACTCTCACTCTCACGCAGTACTCGCCTCCGTCGAACCCATCCTCACCGACGGCGAACTCCATCCTCACCGACGGCGAACTCTACCGCTCCAGCCTCTACGCTTCGTGAACTCACCATCGGTTGAGCAAAGATCTCTTCTTCACGAACCAGGTTGGTCTTCGAACAAAGATCTTTTGTCTTCCAACGATGATGAGTTCACGAAGCATTGAAAGATAAAAGATCTTTGTTCGAAGACCAACCTGGTTCGTGAAGAAGAGATCTTTGCTCAACCGATGGTAAGTTCACGAAGCGTAGAGGCTGGAGTGGTGGAGTTCGCCGTCGGTGAGGATGGAGTTCACCGTCGGTGAGGATGGGTTCGTCGGTGAGAATGAGGATGGGTTCGACGGAGGCGAGTGCTGCGTGAGAGTGAGAGTGGTATGTAAGAGTGAAAGTGAATCCCTCATCTGAGCTGTGTTGTTGTTTTGTTTGGACGAGAAGTCGAAAACACAACATTTTTGATTTTTTTTTTTTATAATATCAGCCGTTGGATGACCAATGACTTATCTGAGCCGTTACCCGCAGGAACTCAAGGACCTTCCTCAAGGAGAGGATCCGGACACCTCTATCTTTGCTTTTCTTTGATGCTGCTTTACCTTTCTTTTTGTATGAGATAGGCACCGAGTCCACAGACTAGATTCCTATTTTACGAGTTTTGTTGGACAGAAGGTGATGAACGAATCAAACCATTTCAATTATGTTTGTTAAGTATATTTTGAAATTTGTTATAATTTTTAAATATATTTGTAAGTATATTTTGAAATTTGTTATAATTTTAAATTAAATTTGATTAATCAATAGCTGGTTCATAAGATTCGACAAGTTTAGAATTATATTTAAAAAAAATTAAATTATTCAAATTTTGACTTAATAAAATCTCATTTGAAATCTGCTCAAAAATTTAATAAATCAAACTTAAACAAATTTTAAAGATCATTAAAATTATCAAACAAAGCTTGAATACTTAACTCTTTTGCTCGTTATCATCTCTAAATGGGTGTTTGGGATTTTTTTTTTCTAATTTATTTTCGTGTTTATGGAATTTTTTTTGACAACTTTTCAAAAAATTTTAGAATTCTAAATTCGATTAGACAAAACGAATTGATTTTTTTTTTTTTAAAAAAAGTTCATAAAAGACAAAAATAAGTCAAAAAGGAAAAAAAATTTGTTTATTTTGGTTTTTCAAAAAAAAAAAAAAAAAAAAGAGATTCGTCTATCAAAGATGGATGAGAAATTTTTTTTAAAAAAAGTCATTAAAGACAAACAAATTTAAAAAAAGAGGTGATTTATTTGAGAATTCTAGATAACACTTGTTTAACTTTTCATTCGATTTTAAATAAGTTGAAGTCTCATTTGACAAGTGTCTCTTTTAGTTAAAAAAGTTAAAAAGTTATTAAAAAAATTAAAAAGTTAATAATTCATACAAAAAAATCAAAGATTTCTTTTTCTCTCTATTTTTTGCACATCTTTTTGTAAAAAATTAAAAAATCATCATAAATATATTAACTTTTTTTATATCATATTTAAACTAAAAAATCAAAAAATTACTGAAGACCTCATTTGAGAGCAAACTTTTTTAAGTAACTGTTACGTAGGCATTATCATTTTTTCTTGTCCCGCTTCAATCCTACATCTCCTATTTTATCTCGTACATATTTTTTTGGTCTCATTGAGGAGAAAGTTGGGAGGGGACAAGTTTTGTTTTTCCTGTCCCATTCTAACTCACCTCCGCCCCATTTATATTTGCTATATATCATTTAACTTTTTTTTGAATCAAAATATTAGATTTCATATCCAATTTCAACCCCTTTTTTTATTTTATATATTTTGACTTTCATTAATGATAAATCACTATTCATAATATATTATATTATTTAGAATTTTTATTAGTATTTCTATTTTTTAAGTTATAAAATTTAAGTTTGTTAAAAACTAGGTAGTATATTGCTGAAAACCAGCCGAGCCAAGTCACATTGTAAATTGTTCAAATTTATTTTGATAACTAAGTGAGTTTAAAATTATGTTTAATTTTAATTTATTTATATAATGAGTCGATCTCGAAAGAATTTTTAACGAGTTGAACTAAAGTAGCTTAACTTTTAATACAAATAAGCTTATCGAGCTAGAGTAATATGTTGTTCAATATTAGTTTAAAATTTTAACAAGTTTAAAATTGTTTTTATACTTGATTTATTTATATATCTTAAACTAGTTTTTAATGAGTCAAACATGAGTCAAGTTCAAATATCTATGTTCATTTCACCACCCTAGTTGGATATCACCTTCAAACTTTTACTAAAATTTTATTTTGGCGCTCATCTTTAAATTGTAATAATTAAGTAGTTTCAAATTTTAACCTAGTATTTCATATGGTTATTTCCTTTACTATGTTGTTTGAAATTTGAGTAAAATTTAAAATATGAGAGATCAGAGTAAAATTTAAATAATGATTAGATAGTGAAAAGTGTAATTTGTCATACAATTTTTGAACTTCTAAACTGTGTTTAAAGTAGCTCTCACATTAGTATATCAAATTTTTAACAATAAGTAATGGAAGAACAACATTAAAATACATTTTGAAATGTTATAATTAAGATAAGAGATCAAATTAAATTTAAATTGCAAATTTTAGGGTAAAATGTGTAATTTATCCAATTAATTTTAATTGAGCCAGATTGAAATGATACGACCCATTTGGCTAGAACTTTTGTGTATTTGTTACCGTTTTTTTTTTCTTTTTTTTAGATAGGTTGTTACAGTTTCTTTAGTATGATTTTTTTTCTTTCTTTCCTGGTTTTGAGAGTTGCTTTTTGTTACAACAGTAGAGAGAGAAAATAATATGTTGTCTTCAATAAATTTTTCCTAATAATAGAAGAATTGTACATATAGGCTGAGAAAGAGTATCTTATTAGAAATCTAACTATAAGAAAAAAATATCCTATAAGAAACCTAACTATGGCTATTTCCAAATATATCTAGGAAATCAATTTAATATATCTAGAAATACCATATATACGTTAACATCCCCTCTCAATAAACATCTTGAGTTTGGAGAGAGAAACTAAAACATGAAATAAAACTAAATAAAATAAAAGGCAAATAGATAACACGGTCTAAACGGGAGCACTAAGGCGCTTGAGATATATCAAATATCGGAGCTAATACCAGGAGACAGTTTATGGTCGTGTTAGACCGTTGTAGGATCTGACCGAAACTAATGCCGAGAAAGTTTAAGGTCATGCCGGACTGTTGTAGAAACTGACCGAAACTAATGCTGGAACAGTTTAAGGTCATACCAGACTGTTGTAGAAATTGACTGGAATCAATGTCAGAACAGTTTACGAGGTCATGCCGGACCGTTGTAGAGGCTGGATGTTGAACCAGCAAACGTGGCACACATATAACTTATGATGTGATTCTGAACAATGATGGCAATAGATGACTTTGTGCGCCAATGGGTGGCTTATGAGAAAGTGCGCCAAGGAGCAGCTTAGATGATGCGCCACATGGATGATGGCAACAGAGGTTATGCGCCATAGGGAACGACTTAGGTAGTGCACTAACGAGGCAGCTTAGAGAGTGTGCCACAAGGGGCGGCTTAGGTAATGTGCTAATGGGGCAACTTAGAGAGTGCGCCAAAGAGGTGGCTTAGGTAATGCGCCAATGGAGTGGCTTAGAGAGTGCGCCAAAGGAGGCGGCTTTATAGGGAGTGCGCCAAAGAGGCTGCTTAGAAAGTGCGCTAAAAAGATGACTTGGGTGGTTTGCATAGTGTATAACTATGCTCACTATGATATATATGATATAGGTATAATACCCCCTCTCAAACTCAAATAGGTTTCTAGGTTTGAAGATAGAAACCTATTTAAAGTTGAAGTAGAGGGAAAGATAGAGTGGAGTAGAAACACGCACACACACACACACACAAGGATTGCAATATGATAGAGATATTTGGGGTAGGAATAAACCAGCGGACAACGAAAGAGGTC